GCAGAAGTACTGGTGGCGAGGTAAGCTGGGCGGCCGCGGCCGGGAGGGGACCGTCGCCTGCCGGGTGACAGGAGCCTCGAAACGCGCCGCCTCCCCGCGCCTGGGCTGTTACCGTGGGTCGCCGCCGCCAGGCGGGACTCGCGGTCCGGCCAATTGTCCCGTGGCTGCCTCTTTACCCCCGGTCACGAGACGCGGGGTGTGACTGTCCCCGTCCGGGAGGCGCGTCCCGCAGCCTTAAGGTGGCGATTTCTCAGCTTGTGCGCTGTGTGTAGGGCCATAATCCGCTCCGTGTGACCTCTTCAGCTTCAGCCTCCTAATACCTCTTCCAGCCGGCGTGTGCACAGGGTTCGTGTTTAAATGGTAGAGCTGCCAGTGATGGTTATTCCGCAGTTGTTAGTGTCTTTGGCACTCGTTGTTATAGTCATCTTTCTTCCCATGAGAAGCTGTAAAGACCAGACTGACTCATCTGGGTCCCGAGTGGTGCCACAGCTGTCAGAAATGGTAATGCACCACCTTTTAGCTGAGCTGATGCCTTGGTATCTGTGTTCCCTTCAGATTTGTTGCACTTTTATCTACCCATTGAACAAACACCTCACTTCTCAGTTGCCCAGGGCCCAGTTTCTGTTTGTTCTGCTTCTTTTGTCCTGACTTTTTGGTCCATCAGCCAGCACCTCTTTTGTTTCAGCTTTAGTTTTAGCTATCTTGATTTGGAGATGTTTTGTTCTACCTGCAGTGCCATCCTTCCAGTCCAGATCTCACTGACTTAAAGATCTTTGATGTGAAAAAGGATTTGGTGTTTCAAACTTGCTACATCTGTTCTGAATGATGGTCACCTTGCATTTGTCAGGGTTCTCATCATCAGTCCAACATTGGACTGTTCAGGCATCTGCTGCCATCCTGTGCTGGAACCTTCCTTAATGGACTTCTGTGTATCTTCTGCTCATCACAAGAGGGCATTCTGTTCTGCATCATTTCATCTTATTGGTTACTTTTATTTGCACAACCTGTATTTTCTTATTTCTCTTGCACTGAGAATCCTAAAACTCATGTCCTGCTTTGAGTTCAAGCGTTTTGCTGCTTATCTGCATCTCCTTGAAAACACTGTGTTCCCTTGTCATTATAATCCCTTTCTGCTGCCAGTGGACAGCAGCTTTGACCCAGTCACCATCCCAGGATGAGTGCTAGTCTGTTTTGTCTGGCTGCTCTCTAACTGGGAAGCAGCAGGCTGGAGTGTGTCCCTGTGGCCAGGAAGGGTGTTAGATATGGGACCTGGAGACCAGAAACCATCTGTCCTCAGAACTAGCCCTGGTTTCACATTAAATCAAGGAGACGTGGGCATGAATGTCGTGGGTTGGGATGTCTTGGGTTGCCTGAGGTCTGTGTTTTCTTGGTCCTTACAGAGTCACGTCTGGAATGATGGTGTATCTCGTGCTCTGAAAAAGCTGTGAGCACTGAAGGTCCTGCTCTGAGCCAGGTTTTTGAGCTGTGCTAGAGGTTGAATGGTAGAGGCACAGCTGTTGTTATGTATGCTTTCATGTTGTCCTGGTGAAGGAAAGGAGTTTGGGTTGAAAGCCATACACTCAAAATGCCTTGGTACCTAGAAGAGGACACTGAGCTTAGGAACAACACTTGAGTTGCTAAAATTTAGTTACACTGTGTAAAGGACTGGTGGGAAATCAATTTCTTTAAATCCAGATATTCTAAGCAACTGGTTTAGATTTGTGTTAATAATACATATCAGTGTCATTGAGTAGAAAATGGTTGGTCCAGATTCAGCAGAAGCCCTTAGGTGAGCCCTCTTGTCCCCTTCAGTAGGGACAAGCTGAGATCCACTGTGTGGGTTAAATGCAGGATTAGGTTACAGCTTTCACTGCCTTGGGATTCTTAGGATGAAAGCATAAATACAAATTTTTCTTTCTAGCCTTTAAAAACTTTCTAGGAAGGTCTGCTTGATACAGTGATGTTCAAAGTGTTCTGTCTCAAATTAAGGATGGATCAGTAGTGACGTACCGTGGTGTGAGAGAAGCAGAAGGGGTAAAGAGTCAGAGAAGGAAGGTGTAGGTGGTTGACTTCATTTTTCTCAGTAAGTGTGTAATATTGTCTGGCTGTCACCTATGTATTTAATTATGTGTTTAAGGTAAATTGAATGAAGATGAGAAGCCTAATGGAGCTCCATTAATTTTCCTTAGGTATTCTTAAGCAGGTTAAAGATTACATTAAAGAATGCAGCAAGTGCCAGGAGAAGCTAGATCGCTCTAGATCTCTGTCAGATCCTTCTGAGATGCTGGAGGAGCTGGGACTGGATGCAAAATCCCATGAAGACAGCAACGAGACGGATGAGGAGCTGAGTAACACGGCCTCAGTCCCAGCTTCATCCCCAAAGCCTGTGAAGAAGAAGCCAATAGCAAAGCATGAGCTTGTGTTTGTAAGTAGCATTGTTTAAATCTGTTACATCTGAGGGTATTTAAGATGTTTGTTAATGTGTTCTCTGCCACACATTTATTTTCTGTTGTGATAATCTTGCAGTAGTAAGATGACCTAAATTTTGCAATTATGTGGAAACATGTTACTGGTATATATGACACAAAATTAATTCTAGTAGGTCATCTTTGGAAAATAAAATCACCTCAACTCCTATTTATCCATCCAGGACCCAAGGGGAAATGAATGGCAAAAGTATTAGTAGTAGAGCATTGCATACAAGATTCTCATGGAATCTGTATCTGTTCCTTAATAAATGATGCTATATTTATATGTAAAATTCTTGATGATAACTGGGGGCTTATACTCACGTGAAGACTTTGGAATCTAGAAACAGTTTCAGGCTGTAGCACTGAAAAATATGGTCAAAGAACTGTTTGAATGTCCCAGTCTTCCCATTTTTCCAGTTGTCTGTTTTGACTGTTTGGAGGGAGGGTGAGACTTGACATGCTTAAAGAAAGAAAACATTGGTAAAGTTAAGCTGTATGTTATATACAGGCTTGAACTGATTGTATGGTTGCAGAGAATGATCCTTTTATGTGTTTCAGTGTGAATGCTTAAAAAGACACAGTCTAAATGTAATGAAGTTCTCATGATGTTGTTTATGACAGGTTGACAGTAAGGGCCTTGTGAAGCAGTCATCTTCCAAACATTGTCTGTCAGTCTTAAACCAGCTGAATCAGCAGAGGCTTTCCAATCAGTTCTGTGATGTGACTCTGCTGATTGAAGGAGAGGAGTACAAAGCTCACAAATCTGTCTTGGCAGCCAACAGCGAGTACTTCCGAGAGCTCTTCATTGAGAAGGGAGCTGTCTCTAGTCATGAAGCTGTAGTGGATCTGTCAGGTGAATTGCTGTGGGTTTCAAAGCTAGAAGTTGTAATATCCTAAATAAGGTGTACACTATTTGATTCAGTCTTTTGGGTGTTCAAGAGAACCAAATATTTTGCTTTTTTTCTCTATTTTAATCTAAAAATGTTCTGTGTGGGTTTTAATGCTAAAGTGATTGCTCTGGTTTTGCATAATTTTCCATGTTGATTGGACTGTGTGATTTCATCTTAAAATTCCTGAATAGATATGAGGATGATTTTTATGCTGCTTACGTGTGTTTTCCCCTCGTGTTAGCCACAAGCATTAGAAAGGGGAACAATCAAATACTTGAATGCAACAAGAGAGGATGTTGACTAGCTTCTCAGAGACCTGTTTAGCTCAACAAATACTAAATTCTGTCTTATGCCTGTCAAACACTGTTATGCACATATCTGCATATTTCTCAAACCTCCTGCTACCTTAAAGATAGGAGGAGATCCTAAAATATGTTCTAAAAATGGGTTTGTAGTGATGAAGAATACTGCATAGAACATATGCCTTCTGCATTGCCTTCTCATTAGTTTCCTAACTGTGCCTGTCTCTACATGAGCAACAGATTCCTAGTATGAACATCCAGCAGGTCCCCCAAATTATATACTTGATTTATGGTACTGTGGAAAATGACACTAAATGCTTGTTTTTAAGCATTTCTATCTATAAATTCACATTTTAATTTTTTTTCCTTAGCCACTTTCTTGTCTTTTTTCTGCTACATCCGTTGCTACTTAAGTCCAGACTACTTTCTGAATGTAGCAGGTCCAGAAAGACTGGTTAAATTAGCGTTAATATGCTTTTAAAAAGATTGTGGCTCTCCTAGCATCTTGAAACATTCTTCTAGAGAATTCTGCTATGAAACTGCCTCGTTTCTGTTTGCACACTGGAAAAGTTGCCTGAGCTTGCTTCCACACAGAACGTACACAGGGAGGATGCTCTTGTGTAATGACAATTAACTGAGTCCCAGTGGAGGGGCTTCAGTGTTACTTGCAAGTGTTTTGCTTTAAATTTTAGACTGAACCATATCAAAGATGAACTGTTGTGTCCTTGATGGGATATTTTGGTGTAATTTGGGGTCACCGATGTGTGCTCTAATCTCTTCTTTATTCCTGGTAGGGTTCTGCAAGTCCAGTTTCCTCCCTCTGCTGGAATTTGCCTATACTTCAGAGCTAAGCTTTGACTTCTGTAGCATGGCAGAAGTGGCCATGCTTGCCCGGCATCTCTTCATGTCAGAGGTCCTCGAAATCTGTGAGAATGTGCACAAGCAGATGGAAGAGAAGCGAATCACACTGTACCAGAAGGGAGATATTCAGACAGTACAGTCAACACACAGTTTGGGCGAGCAGGCTGAGGCTGAGCTGCAGCCCGTGGAGGGTGCTGGGCAGCCCGAGCTCACGGCCGGCGAAGCACCAGCGGCTGTGAATGGAGCCCCTTG